AGCAGTTTTGGAGTTGGCAACTTTTGTGGCTCGATTGAGGAATGATTGATGAATAGTGTTATATACTAGTGCAGGGAAATTTGGTGATAGTGGGGAGATGGAGGTTTAAGAAATTCGATAGTGGTTTTGGGATTTAGGTTTTAATGGAGTTTGTTGAATAGAAGCAGATATAATTTTTTGTACTTTTTAAGATTCTAAAGAGTAAACTAAAACTGCTTTCTGTGTCTTAATAAACAACTGATAGTTCGACCAAATATGATGGTTTGGAATCGACTTATTCTGAGATTTCTATTAATCTTATCTTCAGATTGCTTACATTATATATTTCATATTCGCTATTCACCGCGGATCTCAATACATATCGTAACTTATTAAATAGTGATTAATTGACCGTTTAATTATTTTGGCGATCTTTGCCAAGTGTATGCTTCCAACAAATATTTTGTAATTTCTTTGTATATATTCAGATCAGTTTCAAACTTTACCAATGTAATCGTGTGATAGCCACGTTTCGTTACATCGCAAATGAGATTTAGAATATTTTGTATCATACATACATAAAAAATGTCTAGAAATGTTCCACTACTTTCGCGAGCCACTGTGTCTCAAATCTCGCACATCGCTCCATAAACACCACCGTACACAAAACCCGATACTCACCGGTGGGTAATCCTCGATATTAAGTCAGCAGACAACAGTAGGAAGCTTGGGAAGCCCGTTTGCGCCGCTAAGAAACGCACGTCGCGTTTCTCGTGCATTTCTTCGGCGGAGGATTTCTTGGCAGCGACAGAAAGTCACTAGACAAATCGTGACCGAAAAGTTTGCATCCTTCGCGTCTCCGTCGGGAATTCGTTTCTTCCGGGCGTTTGCTTGGCGAAAATTTCATCCCGCGATGTAATCACGTAGCACAATCGTTTCAGATGTGACCGACCGTAATATTCCGGCGATTCTATAATTCTATTTACAAGTTTAATGTCGTGCGTGTGCAATCCCATGACGTGTAGACGGTTCTCGAACCGACATCCAGCACAGGTAATCGCATTCGCGATGTAAACGCGAAATTTTCGCGTCAGGTATCAATCAGGGCCGTGTTTGCGACGCGTGATCTCTCTCCCTTTCCACGGCCCGGATTATTGCACGGCCGTATAATTTTATTTCCATGCAGCGAGATCGAATCGTTAAAATTAATGGCGCAACGGGGATTGCGCGAGTTTTCCAACGAAAATCGGCTCGGCGCGCGTCGTCGATCGCCACGCGTACGTGGAAATTCGACGATTCATATTTTTTTATCCGCGTTGCCTCGTCAATTTGTATCATGCCTCGTCGAACCAATCGATTTTTCCAATGTTATTAACCCTTCAATAGCGGATCGTCGGTTACGATGCCTCGATTGTTTCTAATTCGTACGCTTTTTTCCGATATATTCGTGATATTATTTTGTTACATTATATGCATATTGTATAATTTTAATGTAGAGTAACGAGAAATTACATAGTTACGGAATTACAACCTGGTTCTAAATTCGTGGTACACTTGAAGCGAGCGAGATGGCTCGAGATAAGACAAAAACCAAGGGTAACAAAATTGCATTAAATATTTCATATTATACGACGAAAACCTTGATTCAAGTCTTCAGCGACAATCATAATCACTGATAGGTTAACTCGAAATAACCTGTAGCGTATGTCTACGCGTTTGATAAATGGGACGTCGAGAAGCAAAGGAGAGATTGTCTCACACTATGAAAAATGCCTGCGACGTTTTCAGATATTCGATGTAAAGTCAGGTGGCTTTGTGTTATTGAAAATTCGATGGAAAATTGGTGACAACTTTTTCGATCCATTTTCCTTATCTTCCTAGGAATATCAAGATTTATGGCTTTGTATCGGGTGACTTGGTAGGTGTAAGCCATTAGCCATCAGGATCAATATTTTCTTTGAAGTAGATACCAAATCTTCCGTTGAAATAAATATGAATCGATGTATGTTGAGAATTTTCTTCGATAATAAATTGCATCGTAAATTCGCTACTAAAAATATAAATAATACAAAATCATAAAGTAAGTAATATCTATCTTCGTCTATTACATGTATAACGTGTAACAATTCAAATACACGAAAGATTATACGTGATACATATTATTCTTCGAATTTCCAAATAACAATTAACAGATTATACCTCTCTAACGATTTGTCCATAAAAAAAGGAGAAAAATAATTTTGTTAAAGAACTTATCCGAACTTGAATGTAACGAGTACGATATACCTACATCATTTTCTACAAATTTCAAACACATTCACCTTCGAATCAAAATCTTCCTTCTCGCTAAGACTCACCTATTCTAGAATTTCTCTTCGCATGGTATAATACATAATTCCTCACGCACTTGCATGGCGAACATTCAAGCAACGAGCAACAATTTCGAACCTGAAACCCTCCTTACCTGAAAACGCGTTAGACTAAACGCGACGGAACTCTCGGTGGGATACAAGAGGAACAAACGGTTAAGAGACGACGGTGGAAGACAAAAAGGCACGACACGACGCAGGGAAACGACGAATAGAGCGTAGGAGGCGGCGTCGCGCTATTTAATCACGCGCATATTATGCAAGATTAGACGCGTCTCGAAAATTAATATCCGAGCACAGCCACCGCCCCAGTTAATGCCCAGTGATACCCATATCTCGTGTAAACAGCCGCGAAGAACTCACGGAATCTCTGCTTCGGCTCAGCCGACATTCGGCTCCGATGTCGGGAGCAACGCCAACCCGCTGTCTGGGCATCTGCGTGTCGCGCTATTTGCGATTTCTCCAATTTTGCTGACAGAGAAATTAATTCGAACACGAGGTATCTGTGATTCAGGCTCGACCTCGCGCTGTTACGGTCTTTCGCGTAAAACGTGGAAATTGTTTGCCTACATTTGATATGCATGGGTCATACACGTTAATATCATATTGTATCGATATTCGATAAGTATACGTGGATGTCTGTATTACAGGTAAATGAGATAACGAAGAACGTGTGATATAAATTGCGTAATATATTTGCGAATTTAATTACTACTTTAAAGGCTAATAATGCTATCTAGAGGGAGTTCCAAGGATTTCGTTTCTATTTTATCAAATGTTGGAATTTCCAAGTTTACGAATTTTTCAATCTCTGAAATGTTTTGAATTATATTTCTTGAAATGAAATATTTGTTACAAACGACTGTGGAGAAGTATGTTAATTACCAGTAAGATTTTTCTCTCGGAGTAATCTGCGATTCGAATTAGTCGAAGATCTGCGAATTGAAAATTAAAGTTACTTCAGTAACTTAAAGAGTTCCAATACGGTAAAAAGATTCCTCGTTGCGAGCTTAAAGGAAGATGCTGCTACGAATTTGCAGGAATCCGGTAATGAGACTCGCGATAATATACAAGGCTACAAGATTCCCTTGTAATTCTCACGATCCAACTTTTCTTCGAGTTTATCTGTTTCCACGAGCGAACCATTTGTTACGCGAAATATCGTCGTTCGTACGAACGTTTGTAAGTTAATGTACCAAGAAGAATGTGCGATACGAAAAAATTTCGATAGCTTATCCTTGGCCTTACTGTTGCATCGTGTACGATAATTTCTATTCTCTGTGTCATTCGTTTTTAAGGCCATTCAATCACTATCATATTGGCATAGAACTTTATTTATGCGAATAATTCGACAATTCCAATTCTGAAAAATTCTTATTCTTTTACAAATAACAACATAACAATCTTCGTAGTAGAACAAAAATCTATACAAATGGATTTCATAAATTACAAGTCAGTCGTTCTACATTCTATTAGATGAATATTTTGTATCTATTGCCTTCTCGATAGGAAGAGTTTTTCCAAGGGCCATGTCAAATAATTTTTCAATAAATCCGTAATCGTACAATCGGTTTTTCATGTTTCAAACAATTTATTTACGTTTTAGAATCTCGTTCTTCCTGTGGCTCGTCCTAAATGATTCTATACTTCTTTCTTAACGTTTAACTTAAGTCTCTATTTATTAATGTACCGATTCGTAAAAAAATCGATGAATCAAGAAAGATCACAAAAAATAACGCTATTGAGTGAATGTTTAAAGATTCGTTTTTATGTAACATCGTGTAGAGATATTTCTTAAAAATGTGATCAATTGCTGTTATGAGACCGCTATCGTAAGTAGCCTAAAATTTCTATACAAAAGTACGTCCCAGGATTTACATAGAAAAGAAAAGTGGCTCGTAATTCTCTAAAACAAATGAACAACGCAAATTAATAGGAAAGGCCATTTGGTATGGTTGATCGCGGCATTGGACTACATTTGCGTATGGATTTCTGGTTAGCCGCTCTTGAATCGTTCTCCCCAGGGTACCCAACAGGGGAAACAGAGTAATCGGGGATGAAACTGGGTAAGAGGGAATTTAGGAAGGTCGGTTATCAGCTTCTCGCCGGAGATTTCTTGCAAACGATTTCGTTCCTTGGTTTAATTTTCTACCACCGATATTCGGATGCCAGTCGCTTTAATGTTCGTCTTAATGCGTTTCACTCATTGCGCGCCATTCAACATTGAATTAAAACGAAATGGGAGACGTTACGTTTCTTGTTTGGAACACGCTATCCGCCAAAATCTTCGAATCATTACATATCTTATAAAATCTAGGAATCGAATCTAGGAATTGAAGAACGTCAGTTTTCTCCTTCTTTGGGCGCTTGGAAAACTTGGTAGTAAAAGATCTATGGAAAAATTACTGCTGACATACGCAACATCAATTTTGAAATTATTAATCTGGCAATTTTATTATTAATGCGAAATAAATATTGCAAAATATGCCGTTATGATAAAATTTTTACAAAAGAATTTTCTAAGCTAACAGAATTCTGAGATGGATTTTTTTAGAAATTCCTAGTTTCTGTAAATCACAGTCCGAACTTTTAGCCGAGAACTTTAGCCGAGAGTATACATAGCATTGAAAGAGCAATTTCAATTTTTACTAGCGTGTGTGTGTAAAAAAGAAAAAACAGCGATGAAACAGAATGAAGCAATGAGAATTGGAGGCATTAACAGCTGCCAATCTAGAATATTATTACCGGATGATAATGAACGGGCGGAACTATTCCAAGGTTTCATGATCGACACTGATGCATATGCAAACGTGAATACATATCGGAGGAAGTAGATGCGAAACGCGAGACGCGATGAGAGCTAGTGGAAACCTAGCTTTATAGCAGGCCATTCTATCCTGTAAAACGAAACTTTATTGATACAGTCTGGCATGTTTATAAGTGTACGTATGTCCGCGATGACCAAGTGTATTGCGTTACCATTACTTTATATGGCTCCTTTGCGTAGGCAATTAAACGAAGAATTGGCATTATGACGAAGAACAATGAAGACGCAGAAAAATATTGACATTTCTCCGTTGATACTTGTTCTAGGAATATTTATTCGATTCGTGCAATTTGGCTTCTTGTATGTATAAGGCATTTGCAGGTATAATTAGAAGGTAAAATTAATCCTGTTGTTCTCCTCAAAATTACATAACTCGAAATCGGTGTTATGTCTCAATAAATATTACAGATACTATAGATACTATGGATATTATTAATTTTTAAATATTCGGTTTTAGCATTCAGTGCAATTTTACTGTCTCTGTGTATGTTCCATGCCTTTTATGAACTAAGTATTTCAAACATAGATGATGTTTGCGAAGAAAGTGTGGAAAGAATAGTACAGCTAAAGAGAAGAATAAGAAGGAAGAAAAAGGAGGAAAGGAAGGGGGACAAAAAGGGAAAAAAGAAAGAAGATAGGTGTAATGGACGGATGAAAAGGAAAGAAACGAAGAAAAAAAGGGGACGAAGAAAGGAGGAATTTCTCTAAGGCAATATTATACTTAAACAGTGAAAACTCAAAACGAAATGGACTTGGGTCAGACTCGTTACGTAGTCCAAATAAAAAGTAGAGTTTCAGAAGTACAAATGGAATGCATCTTGAAAAAGAAAAAGAAGAACATTTGTAAACAAAAAAAGAAGAAGGAAATCGAAGAAAAATGGAGGACAAAATGTCGCGGGTGTACGGCTGCAAAAAATCACGGACGAAGGAAAACGTTAATTCTACTCTTGCTGTCTCATTCTACGGACATTATCTCGCTATTTATCTATCCCTTGGTGGACGGTTCCTCGTTGAAGAAGGGAAGAGATGAACGTACACCAGCCGGGAGATGAAAAATTGCGCGATTTAATAAAGCAGCCGGTTCTTTTCGAGGAAATAATTGCCGGAACGAGGTCCCGTACGCGTCGCTTCCTTCTTTCCCGGTAATTGTTATTTTTCCCTTCTTTTCCCTTCTTCACAAATTGAACGTGTTCCCCTTTTCGATTTCGTTGGACGTTATGCTTCGTTGAATTTATTCGCGACTTTTCGATCGACAAGACAGCCGACTCTGACTGACTGGCTGGCTGGCTAGCCAGAAGAGTTTTTCAATTGGAAATCATTTGGAGAAGAGGAAAAAAAGGAAATCTCGTTCCGGCTTTCGTTCGAAAAGCTGTCGTTCGTACGACGAAACTACCAATTTCACGCGTTCCACGGCTGTACTTGTCGGCGTTTTAACGAAAAAACAACCGTGGAACGATCCGTCGACAAATCGTTGCCTCCGATTTTCTCACCACATTCTGTTAATCCTCTACGTGTTGCGTTAAATGTTCCCTGTTTTAACGCTCGAACCTCGAGCTACGCTTGAATTTATGACTTCTATCGTGATGTTAGCGGTGTTTTTAGAACTTGAATTTTGTATGATTGATTTATTTGATATATTTGACGAGAGATATATTACAGAGAACCTGTACATACGTACATTCCCATTCATAAGTAAGTTAATAAAAACTTAGGTAAACCTGCGCAATTATTAAAAAATTGGAAAGCCTTTAAGAACTATTAAGTTGTCCCAAAGGTTTCTTTCGTTTTATAACAAAATAATAGATGCACAGCATTTTTTGCTTTATTATGGAGAAATTTCAACATTATTCTATTGAAACAAAATGGACCGTACGTAATTCAGTAAAATAATATAAAACAAAAAATATTATGCGTCTATTATTTTCTTATAAAACGAGAGAAGCTTTTGGGACGATCTAAATGAAATTATCTTAATGAAATCTTACGTTATAAAGAGTTTCTATATTCGATATTACAACAACGTTTTCAATCATATTTATACATATAGATAAATACAATTTCTCTCTCATCCAGAATCGTCGCGGTTTTCGATAATTTCTTCTATTATTCTGAGTATTAATATAATCTTAAATTCAGCCAGCTTGCGCAAATATTCGCTTGAAATTTCATCAAAGTTTCCTTGGCTGGTCCACACGTTAATAATTAAATCGTATCATTCCAGGACGACGCTCGAGGTGAAACATTATTTGATAACATCTCATAAATCTACGATCCTTGCAGAGGAAGTGGTTAAGAAAGTTGGTCGAAAATCGTGGAATTTCCTTTGGGACGGAACTTCTCGAAATTCAGCGGTCGTCTAGCCACGAAAAGCCAGAAATGAAAGTCGCGATGAAAGTAGAAATTGCTCGTTTCACTGCCTCCGGCGCTCATATATCGGTAATAACGCTTCAACAGTCGTTCACCGATGAGATAATTGTCGCGTTTTCCACGTTAATTTCCTTTTAACGTTACTTCGCGTAATCCCGTGCAAAATGTTGACTTATGATTTAAAAGCCAGTGTTTAAATGTTAATTAATCGCGATTACCTGTCGGAAGCGTGTATGACACATGGAAAACGTTTTATAGAATTTTTCGAAGCGTTTTGCACTGGCTTATTTATATTTTTCAAAAACCTTTTTACCCATTACGATCTTTATCGAGATATGCTTTATTACGAATAGCGACATAAAATGAAACACAACTAATTCTAAGAACAAGTAGGCGCGTAGAATCGTTAAAATATGTTATTTCTGTCAGAAAATATGTTCCTTTTGTCAAATTCCATTACTAAACTTAATCATTCAGGAATCTTGCACCGATAAGACAACGTCTAAAGCTTATTTAATGCTCATCGGCAGTGACAAAGGAGAGATCGAACGTAAAGGCTGGAAAACAAAGTGAAAGGCACAGATGAGAACGAAAGGTTAGGATATGATTTCGGTGGAACACGGAAGGAACGACGGTTAGAATGGTCAAGGGACGCGCAGAGGGAACGATTACACAGGTGGATGAAAGCGGGTCCGTGCACCCCCGAGCTTCGGGTTAGTCACATATTTGCTGACGTACGAAGGACTAAAAGCTTTTCGCTGGTGCCTCTATTTTCCACTCGTAAATCGTGTTCCGTTACCGTTCTCATGCGAAACAGCCGCGTAAAAAGGTTTCCCACTCCCAATGTGGCCGACCAGTCGATCTCTGTCCCTTATGAGGCGTTGGACAACGAATTCGCACGGACGTATTATATGTTTCTTCTTTTTCTGTCTCTTACGACTGACTCTATTCGTTTTGAACAGTGGAGAGCAGTCAGTTATAACGTTTCTTATTTAGAGACGTAAATATAAGAGTATTTTTATATGCAGAATAACGTATTAACGAATTAAAGAATTCTTCATAAAAGCCGTCATTGTCCCTCGTTTTTCTTTTCGTAGGAAAACAAAAAATACTTTAACATTTTTTATTTCTTTCCAATATATTTTATTAATTATATTAATTATTAATTATAAGCATTAATTATAAGTGTGTCTATAATAAAATCGCATATCTAATTAAATCGCGAAGTTGTGAACCTCGTAACAAAGATCTTTATAAAAGCGACTAGTTTTCGTTCGAAAATAAATCAACGTATAGACCACCTTTTATGTCCATTTCACCGTGTTGTGACTTCAGCTTCTGATTACTTCCCATTTTTAAAAAGTGAACAAATTTGGCAAGTCGTTTTTATCACGAGCATCTCGACTAACCCCTCTAAGGTTGAATTTTGATAATACAATATGTACTATTACTTAGACTTGTAATCTGTTCTGCCCAGCGCAAACACAGTTATCGATTATCGAAATACATATAATAATTTCCATACTTGTGCAATTATAGATTAACTACTTCTTTAATTATAAATTCAATACTGGCATAATTAATTAATTATAATATATCTCTATCGTTTCTTCCAACTATTACTCATTGTTACTTACAATTAGGTAGGCAACCTTGATGCTATTCCACGAAGACGGAAATTAATTGGGGGCTCGTTCGTAGAATTTCGTTTGATTCATTCCCGAGATTAATCCCTTCTTTCCTTTTTTCTTTTCATCCCTGTAACCAGGAACTGAATTTAAATTACCGTGGAAGGTAATGAACCGAATTCTCGCGATCGAATTCGTCCATTGGTAATTAGATCGGCGGGCGATACGCGTTCGAGTCCATTCGGAATGCCTCGCCTTTCATTTTCGTACGGCCGTAACTTCCAATTTCTCGATAATATCGTTCCGTTCGATGGATGCACGAGAGTTTCTAGACCCGGGCACCGGGGTGAAGGGAGTAAACGGGGGTGGTCGACCCTTTTACCACTTCCGAGATTAATATTTGTCAGGTGAAATACGGGTAACTGGATCGCGATGCAAAACGAAGAGCGAACTAGACGCTAGACGACCAAAGGGATTTTATTATTTCCCGGAACAATGTCTGTCGCGTGGTGGTGTAGAGGCATGGCGGGGTCGAAACAATGGGAAACGCTTTCTCTTATGATTCATAAAGTGCGTTGGATAAAGGAGACCTTTTTCCGTGCTATAATTTTGCTGCTGTTTTAATTTGGTGGTGTAATGTGTGAAGTTATATATATAGATCTTTGATGATTTAATTGTTTGAAATAACTTTTGGTGCGAAAGAGGCTAGTTTTTTAATGAAACAGATGAGATTCATTTCTGTAAATAATTTCGGGCAATAAATGTTTCCTTTTCGTATTATATATTATCAGGCAAAAAAAGGGAGGAATTCTTTACATCGATGAATTGAAGTTTCCCATCATGGATCTTGCTTGTAAATTTGAACAAGTATGAGCTGGCTATGTCTAGATACTTTATAGATACTACTTTATATTATGTCATATATATTTATAGGTATTAACCAAAATGAAGCTATTGATTGTTGTTTTTTCCCAGTCTCATACTAATTTTGACTAATCTTTATTATGTTTGATTCTATCTATTCGTCCCTCTTTATTATTTTTAGAACTTAAGTGAAATAAAAAGGTACAGAGGATTGTGAAACTCCATCGAGCAAGTAATATAAAGGATAAAGAATTACAAATCTAAATAAAATAAATCCCAATAAAACTACATAAGATATATGTAATTCGTTCTTCGATACTGCGAGCAAATAGAACTTACAGCTTTTACATTAATTTTATTTAAGAACACGTATATATTCGTTTAGTCTCGTTTCAGAAACTTCGTTCTTTTTTTAATAAAACTCAAATTTCTATCTTTGAAAGTCCTCGTTCCACGACAGTCGAAGAATTAATTAATATGAAAACCCGATTTAATATCAGAAAGAGATTCTCTATTTAAATACCGGCTATTTACATCCGAGTCGTTACTTCGGGCTTTCTTTCGTTGGATAAACAGGAACTTTCTCTGACACCATCCTCCACCGTGGCAATTTTCACGCAGAAAAATATAATAGAAAAGTTTTGGGAAACCGAAGATATTCGAAACTTGTGCCATCTACTGAAACTTGGACCGTGTTCTCGCCAATTTCAGGCGTTTTCTGAATTCCAATCAAAATCAAATACATCTTTATCGAGGCTCGAACGAAAAGTCGAAGTAGAGTCGGATTTATCGATCCTCATATAACGCTATTTTATTCGTCGAACGAGAATTTATCTTGAAATATTTGATTGGAACAGAAATGGCTTTAGTACGAAGCGTTTATTCCAAGACTTTCCAAGTCCTCTATACGTAGTACTGCATTTGTCGAATGCATTTCGCACGTATTAGTTGGAATTGAAGTTTAAAGGATTTCACTTTGTCTTTTCGATATAGTCGATCCTTATTCGAGATATCAAATTCTATCTAGATATCGGTAATATTTATTTACCTTAATATAAAATGAATTACTTGTTAAAGATAATGGGACCAATATGTGATAATATGATGTGTATAACGTTGTTAAAGATTGTGGATCTTAGTCGCCAAAATAAATGTATGGGAACACTCACATTACGTGTAGAAATAATATTAAAATAGTTTCATATTTATTCAATATGCGATCTACAAGATATTCGTAGATACACATTCACGCGTCTCAGCACTCTTTTTGTCTCACTACTCTGTGTGTCACTACTACGTGGCTAATCCAGTGTAGCACACAAAATTACACATATCTGAATAAATGTGAAAAATAATTTTACTCTGTCGTTGATAAAACAATTATTGAAATTCATTTAACCGTTGCACAAAAGTGATAAAACGCGGGCATGAACTAAATTCACTTTAACATTCTTTCAATTCGACCAACAATCGCTTGCAAACACTTTTTCACTCAACAAATACCTATGGGTTTTCCAAACGTCACTCACTCAAATTTCAACCGAATTCGTACGATCACGAGGAAAGATAAGATTTATCTGGATTTTTCAAGATAAACATCCACACTGTTAGTTTGTTTGCAGAAAACGACAGAACGAGAGGCGCGATACATTTCATCGAATTTATTAATTGATTCATTTCAATCTGCCTTTGCAGTTCGGTTTACTATCTCACGTATCCTCTTCGTCAGTTTCTATTTTATTACATCCGTATCCCTGTTACTGCGATTCCCGTGGTAGTTCGTTCGAGACCTTTCAATCGGCTTGTTTCAATGTTCGATTTCCGTGTTGCTGTCGAAATCGCGTATTACTCTGTAACGCAAAAATGAACAGAGACAGACCAAAATAAGCGAGTGAAAGAGGATGTATGTGTGTGTGTGTGTGTGTATGTGTGTGTGTGTGTGCGTGCGCGCGCGCCAAAAACCGACATGAAACAAAACCAACAGAGAAAAATCGGACAGAAATGAAAAAAAAAGGAAACAAGGAGTGCAGACAGAAGGAGGGAAAAAAACTAAATACACCGCGAGCAAGCAGGAAGCGGACAGAAATGTGGAAAAAATAGAGGACGAGTTGGAAGGGTTGCAAGGAATCCTCTGCAAAACCAGAGGGAAATTTCAAAGAAGCTAGCCAGGAGAAACGGATGAAAAATGCGAATGGAAGGGGCCAGCGTGTAGAAAAAAGAGAGCGAAAAGGAAAGAAGGCGAAAGAAACGCGGGGAAAGAGGCTAAAAGAACATAAAAAAGTTAGCTTAGAATACAAAAGAATGAAGGAAAAGTAAGGGAGAAGTTAGGTTAGAATAGAGAAGGATGGAAGAAAGGCGAGGGAGAAGTGCTAAAGCTAAAGTAAAGTAACAAATATGTGCTTTTTGTACGGCGAGAAGCAAGGCTGTTTAATTAGCCGCAAGTTACAAGCTCAAATACTAGAACTTTCTGTGTCTTGATCTATCACGTGGAAATTTCAGGCAGCTCCAAAATTGAAATTGTATTTATCGAAAGAGAGAGAAAGGTATGAGATAGAATTTAGTAAATAATATATTACAGTGCAAAATCGTATCGAGTTGTTACTTCCATTTCGTCGTGGTATGAGAGAGCACAGAGTCTCGCGAGCTTAAGATGAAACTAAATGAAACGACAACCATAATCTACGCGTCAGTTTCTCTAAGTAAGTAAGTAAGTATTTCAAACTGTACGCAGTGTTATCTTCTCATTATGAGCTTTTAGAAGGCCGATTATGGATTGATGATCCATTTGTAAGCATGATCCCTTAGTAAGCAGAACAATCGGAATTGTGGAACAGATCCAGACTTCTATCTTAAAGACGTAAGGATTCATCTTGGAAAGCAGAAAGAGCCTATTTGTACGAAGACTAGCAACAGATTGTAAAATCTTAAGTTTTATTACAGATTAACACGTAAATCTTGAAGTCCACGAAGAATATACTCAAGATCATCTATCTTTATGAATAATTAAAGGCAGAATTCGTGTAACATCATTCTATGAACGAAGGATATCGAGCACTTTAATCAACCAGACTTAGGATGTATTAAAACCACCCAAGGGACGTAGAATCTCGAAATTCCCGTCGAATCTCTAAAACTAGAACGTATTTAGGTACGTTAAGACCATCTACATGTCGTAAAATTTCGACCTTCATGAACTAAGAAACGTGGAACTTGTCCAGAATTGTAGGATCTTGTATCTAACGATCACTCGAGATCCACCTCGAATCACGCAAAGTTTGTGAAATATCAAAGTTTGTATAATAGAATATCATGTGGTCTGAGGCCAGTCCTGAAATTGGTTCCATGACTCTTAGATGTTCTCGAGGGTATTACGAGCTTGCTGATTTGGAAACTCCAAGGTCCATGACTTTTAGGGTCTCCATGATCGAGCAATAACAAAGTTCAACGCCTAATAATCTCCAGGTGTTCTCAAACATATTTCACACCTACTTAATAACAAAAGTGATCACCGGACTGCGGATGTTCATGCAAGTTTGTATTTTTATACACGCAACTAATGAAATAGAATTCAAAACAGAGCT